ACACAATGATTTATTTGCATATTGTGTTTATTTAGATAAACACTATGCAACAAGCTACATATATAATTGCATAACACTATCATAATGTTTTAAATATATAAAGTTAGAATACAGCAACAAAATAACAGTAAAACAGCCAGCAGGTGGCGGCAAGTATCTTTAGAGTAAGACATTAAATCATTCATTCAGTGAGGAATAAAGTGAATCATTCAATATAAGGCTGCTGTGTGATGCTTGTAGGACACTGTTCTGCTGAGGCTTTGTTTGGACTCTTCATCAAGCAAATAGGTACAATATTAAACTCACTCAAAATGTACTTGTTATATTGATTTTATACTACAGTTCAACAAAGATTTTCAATGGAGCTGATATTCGGGGAAAACAATCTTGCTCATGTGATATTGCTTAGCTGTATGTCATTTTATAATCTCAGAGTAACACAAAATGTGATAAATCTTACAAGACCACCAACCTTATCAATGGCATACTGTACGTGAAAGAAAAAGCTGCAAAGCTGTTTACAAAAAAATAAAATAAAATACATGACAAAAAAAAAAAAAGCAAAATACTGCCTACAGACAGCTAACAATTACGAGCAATATACAGCAAATTAATAAATTGTGACTGGGATGTATTACTCTTACTCATATTATCCTCTCCTAACAGTAATAACCATAAGACTTCAGTCAGGCACATCAATGACTTCGCGAGGCTGGTGCTTATTGTGGCTGCTCCCTTTCGCGATGTGGCCATAGGCGAATAAATACAGGTAAATATAATCACAACGGGTCATTAGGACAACTCATTTACAGTTTTTTTTAATTGGTTTGGTACTATCTTCATAAGTGCTTAGTACTTTTAACAATCAGTTAGTTCAGTAGCAAACAATACAAGGTACAGGTTTCAAATCACCCTCAGTGCTGAATGAATGTTACTGTACTGTAAAACACAGCCATCACAGCAAATGTTACACTTAAGTTCAGACAAACTGACAACATCAATTTAAAAAAAAAAAAAAAAAATGAGCAAAACCTGACAAAATCACCCAAAACCTCTCTTTGAGGATGTCCTCATTTGTAAAACTGTGTGTTCTGTAATTTGTGACCATACAGCAGGATACAAGGCAGAGGAACTGATCAGAGATGTATCAGAAGAAGGGAGACAGCATTTTTACATTACATTATGCCATGAGATACTGTATGTAGAGGCATATACCATGGTAGAGTCTGCACATATAACTCACTCTTCATCTGAAAAGTTCAGTTACAGTATAGACTCAGTCATATGGCACAGTGAGGACATTTACTGCACTGACAGTAAACTCTGTTCGAGCACAAAACCTTATGGCCATGTCATACCTTCATCACACCTTCTGATAACACACTGGATAAATACATTTACAAACATTATGGATTTTATGTGAGTTATGCAAGTTAGGTAATGTAAATGTATTTTCTAACATGAGAATTATCGCCTGTATTTCTGTAATTATTTCAGCAACAAAGGTGATTTGAAACATTTATCTTGCGTTGTTTGCTCTTGAATGAACGGATAAAAGTACTAACCTGAAAGAATCTATAATAACATTAAACTTATTTCATATTTTCTCTGAACCTTCTTGGATATCAAGACAGGCACCCTGCAATTCTGGTCAAATTAAAGATGCGTTATGTGTGAATTCGCACGTTATACTGTAAGCATCATTAATGACCCCTTGTGTTTAATAATAATAAAAAAAAAAAACTCATTAATACTAAACTTACTTCAACTTTTTATTCTAGGTGTGTTACAAAAACAATGTCAAACCGAGTGAGGAAAGTCCTAACCTTTATGAAACATCAGTATTTCAACATTGTTTCAACATTGTGCTGTGCAAGAATGACTTAAATGACAGATGTTACAAACACTCTTACTGATAACCTTCAGGCCATTGTATAAAAACAGATACTTAATTTGTGCCAAGAATCGATTGTTCCCTTTCAAGGGAACTTTGAACTGCGTCCTCTAGGGGTCGCTATGGGGAACACCTCGTCGTGACCCCTGTCTGAAGCATACATTGAAAAAACACCAACAACATGTTGGACGGCGACAGCCATGACGTCACTACCGGTGCGACTATAGTATAAAAAGGCGCCGGGAGAACATGTCATACTCTTCTTCGTCTTCACTGACTGTTTTGTTTGAAGCGTGCATTTGAACTTGGTAAGAGCGATCTCTATCCTA